ATGTGGAGTCAGAGCGCCTCAACGATCACTACCATGTCCAAAGTGCTGCGCCTGCTACGAAATATGCACTTCGAAGTAAAACCACTCCGATCCCTTGCGCCTGTAAACTGGCCACGTCTGAGTCCAGCTCCGAAAAGATCTTTCCCATACTACATTTGCACTACAAACTGGCCACTTCTGAGCCCAGCTCCAGAGAGTGAAGCGCCAAGTCTCCAAAACGAGCGTTTCGTACGAGACTTCCTCCACAAGTCACGCGTCAAAGTCTCCAAATTGAGCGTTTCGTACGAGACTTCCTGCACGCCAAGTCTCCAAAACGAGCACTTCGTACGAGGTTTCTTCCAAAAGTGATGCGCCACGTCTCCAAAACGAGCGTTTCGCAGGAAGCCAGTGAAGCGCCAAATCTCCAAAACGAGCGCTTCGTACGAGACTTCCTCCAAAAGTTACGCGTCGACACGCACCCTCCCCGCAGGGGGTTGCTCGGACACAAACGCGATCGACGTTTCACCACACGTTTGATGATTCGACACGCAGAGGGCCACCCGCGCCCACAAAAAATTCGCATTTCACCTCACGTTTGAGCACTCAACACTCGACACACGCGATCCCCGCAGAGGGTCACCCGCGCACAAACCAAATTCACATTTCACCACACGTTTGAGCACTCGACACGCACGATCCTCGCAGAGGGTCGTTCCAGGTCAAACGCGATCGACGTTTCACCACACGTTTGAGCATTCGACGCGGACGATCCTCGCAGAGGGTCACGTTTCGTGAGCGACGATGATGATAGTAGCGATGACAATAAAGCTTATTGTTGAAAATGATGTGAGCAAATGTCCTTTGGAAGAAACCCTTCGCAGGTGTTTTCGGGAAAAATTGGTGAGCAAAGTTTGTTTCACACAGAAACAAAAGGTTTTCAGCGCAAGGATCAACAAAGAGTACCAGCAAAAAGAAGCATGGACAAGTGAGCCTGATTGAACCTATCTGATCTAACCTGTCGTGTTTGTGTTCGCCGCCCATTATTTCGACTATTTCTTTACGTATTGTTCTCGTTTGGTTTTGGGGGGGAGGGCGCAGGCCCCCCAACCCCCCCCCGTTGTCCTATATTTTGGGTTGCCCCGCTCGCATATTTATTGGGGGGTGAGGGGTAAGTTCCCCAAAGTGGCAGCAGAAGAGACTGGATCTGATCGAAAACACCATCTCTCAATGCAAGTGTGCGCGCGTGTGCGGTGCGCGCGACGACGAACACACCTTTCTCTATGCACGGAGCGCGGCATTGAGCTTTAAAGTCTTGAACCTTGAGCCAAATCGATTAAGCGGCAGCTGACTGAAGAAAACGACCTACAAACTAACTACGAACAACAGGCGCTACACACGTATCACCTCACGTGTTTCACGTGTTTCCAAGTGTGTCCACAACCCCCATCTCATCGTGCATCTACCATCAAAGTCAAGATCAGCCGAGGGTAGCTTTGTTTATCTTTTTGAATTGGTGTATTCCAAAGGGGGGACAGTCAAACATAGCAACTAATATAAGTTGCACTTCGTTTGTTTTAAGTAAAAACTGAAACTCGTTAAAACAAATGCATTAAGTGAAACACAATGTAACTTAAATGACCATAAATGACGAAAACGTGATTGCATGGTTGCAAAAAAAACGTGTTGACCAGTATAACTCCTACCTCATGTGCCTCCTGAATGTTTTCAGTCAACTTTTCTCAGACACATGTATCAGGACTTGTGCAACAAGCAGCCAATCTCATAGTTGGCACACTTCCTAACTCATTTGGCGGGAGCATAATAGACAATTTAAGCCAAAGTAATTTAAGTTATAAGTATATAAATATGTATAAAGAGTTTAAAAAACGTGTTGCACCTGTCACGTGATGGTTGTTAGATTTTTGGGGGAAATTGTGAGTTACGCTGATGCGTCTGCGTCAGTCAACGTCGCGTCATTCAAACGATGTGTTACTTCCTTCATTTCATGCCACTTCACTCCATTCATTCCGGTCAACCCTTTTTAATATTTTTTCATGTCAGGTCATTTCATGTCACTTCACGTCATTTCATTTAACTTCATTTCGTTTATTCCTTCATTCAATCGTTTACTCCTTCGTTCGTTCCCTCCTTCTTTTGTTCCTTCGTTTGTTCGTTCGGTCAGTCAATCAGTCAGTCAGTCAGTCGGTCGGTCGGTCGGTCAGTCAGTCAGTCAGTCAGTCAGTCGGTCGGTCAGCCAGTCAGTCAGTCAGTCGGTCGGTTGGTCGGTCAGCCATTCCTTCATTAAGCCTTAAAAATTGTCATGTCACTTCATTTCATTTCTTGACCAAACTTAGAACTTGCTGTTTTCCACAAGCCCTCATGGGCGATCAAAAAGCCATCAAAAGCCTAAACGGCTTATATTCCGAACCACAAACAAATTGACGAGCCAACTGCAAGAATATGCATAATGCAACGCATCATTTGGCGGGTTTATGTCCAAAGCCGTCCTCTTCTTGCTGCTTCCCGAGCCCAGGAAGGACTCAATCAACCCCGTTCCCAGCATCATTTTGTGTGGCATTGCCAATGAACTGTGGCGGACAATACACATCAAGTAGGAGACCAACCCGTGGTTTTGCCACAGACCACATAAAAACAAAAATGCAAAACATGTCACCGCCAGAGGCCCTCCTTTACTGTGGATGTTATCCCTGGGATTATTGGATCTGTTATGGTCTGTTCATTGAAAATGGTTTGGGCAGCATATGGGTACCCCGCAACATTCGTGCAGTATTCCTAATTGTTCGATAATAGGGTCTTGATTATAATCTCATGGTTGGTCCTGGCATGTAATTCATGGAGGCTTCAACAAACGCATCAGGGCAACTCAACAACAACATCTCGCTGGAGTTTTGCCAGCTTAAGCACGTCGCAAGTCATGAACGAGGTACGCCCGCAACATCACATGGAACAGTCAAACGCAAGCCACGGCCAAAAGAGTTGTCTTTGCAGTAGGGTTGGCCAAAGCATCGGCTGCAGGACCCTAGTCAGCACCCGCCCAAGTGTGGTTGCTGATGGCGGATGCGGCGACCTGCGGTGTTGATTGCGGTACTCGGCGCTACACAACCAAATGGTGCTCCTTTGAAACTATTGGATTGTCGGCGGCAGTTGTGAACATAGATGTCTCATTGTGTTTCTTTTTGTTGCGTTAAAAACAAAAGTTCAATCAACCATAAAACATCATAAAACACCAAAATGTTAGCTGGAAGTGGTCAGGTGGCTCATGAACCTGGGTTCACCCAGCGTCGGACCCGAAAATGCCAGAGATCACTATGACAACCAAAATCCTTGTAGCACGCACTTTGCGGCTAGTTGTTGTTGGTCCTGTATTGTTTTCAAGTGTTGTCAACGCGAGGCTGCTTGCGAAATTGGCCCTCTGCGCCCCCCCAGGGTCAAAGATACACCAATTCGATCCCTTGCAACGATGAAGTCAAGACCCAAATCCTCCTCGTCCACGGTGGAGACGTGAGGTTCTAAAAGGCCCAGTTCATTTCCTCCACCTCCACCTCCTCCACCTCCTCCACCTCCCAGCTCCTGGCCTCAGTTGTTTCTTGTTGTTGTTGTTGTTGTTGTTTTCAGTGCATATGGTGGCACAAATTCCTTCTCCCAGTTCCGTTTCACAATTCCTCTCGCCCAGTTCCCTTCCTCTTGCCCCAGATTCCCTCTCTTTGTTTGGTTCCCGCTGAGCTCCCCAATTCCCTTGCCCCAGTTTTCTTCTCCCAGTTTCCCTTCCCTCTCCCCTTACCCTGCTTCCTTTTTCCTAGTTCCCGTTGTCCAGCTGCTCCACTTCCTTTTTCCTAGTTCTTTTGCCCCAGTTTCACGCACAATTCCCTTCACTCAGTTCTCTTGCCCCAGTGGCCCAGTCTTTGATTCCCTTTTTTCCCTGTACTTCTGTTCTTGGTTGTGTATTTGTTTGTTGTGCGTGTCGGCGTGTGTTTTCTCTTACGACTCTTACCTCTCTCTGTTTGTTTGTCACGGGTGTCATTTCTTTCCTTGCGTCCTGCTGTTTGTTGTCTATGTCAGCTTTCCCGAATCGCAAAGGTTGCTGGGCTAGGATAATATGGCCTGAGTTGCCAAGCATGGCCAAGCCGTCCCAACCCAACCCCTCGCCTCCTGCAGTCCAGCTTTGGGAACCCAAGGTCAAGTGACAAATGAGGCAAAACAATACATGCGGAGATGTGCGTGGCGCAGGGGCTTGCGGCTGGGAACGTGAGACGGGTGTGAAGGCAACGGGGTCAGGAGCCAACATCACCAAAAGTGTCCAACAGAAAGCGAATGCACGAACTTCAAGTCAAGTCTGAATCATGCTTGACCTCAGTCCAACACAGGGTGGACTCCGTTGCACACCAACTTCTGCTGAATCTGGCCAGAGCAAGCACTAGAACTTCCGCGGGAGTCAACAAGCATCCAACCGAACCTGCGCTTTTGGGAAATCTCAGGTCCAAAGGGAAGGACACAACACGCCATCGGAAAGAGTTTGGAAGTCTGGCCTGGCTGAAACAAAAATCGAAGGCTGGCAACGATTTCAAAGAGTCCCAGCTCTTACCGTCTTCCCTGCAAGCGGACGGAATCCGGGTTGGACTCAACCCCCACAAGGTGGAGGAAGCCCCGCAGGTCCTTGCACCAGTTCCTTGCAAACTGGGCTGTTTTCTCATTGCGACCCTGAACAGGGTGCTGCGCCTGGCGATTAAACTCCCTGGTTGGCAGAAGATCAAGCCCACCATGCATTGCTGTCAAGGCCGAAGCGTGGTTTTGAAGCACACAGAGGATGTGAATTCGGCACGATTGATAATGCTGAAATCCACACTAAAACGTGCTTGCTCTTTTCATGCCAGGTGGGCAAAAGCATCCGCGCGGTCCGCAGGGGACAGCAAAAGCCTCTACATGACTTCGTCATGGCCACACAGGGCCTCGGACATGAAAGACCTCGTGTTTGGAGCTTGCGTGGCGCACAGCGCATCTCCTTTCTCTCTGGCTTCTTTCGCAGCCCACCATGTGGGCAGGGTGCACTAACGGTCTGCGCACATTGGCGCACGGTGAAACACCTTGAAACGGCTCTTCCGCCTGTTGGCATCGCTTCGGCCACCTGTCTAGCCAAACCTGTTGGCCAAAAACGAACGAAAAGCAAAAAAGGACCCTCCGCCTTGGTTACACCTGTTTCGCCGCCTTGGACGGTTGCAGGCCGATCCCTATGATGGCTTTCCGATCCTTGGGCATCTTCCGCATCATGGTCATGAACTCCTCGAAGTCGATTCGACCTGCCGGGCGCCGGTGACGTGGAAAACGGCAAAACCAGGAAGGAGGAAAGGGAAGAGAGGAAACGAAGAGAATGTCCAATGTCTTTAGTGGTTGTTTTCACTTCTATATGCTCTTATTCTGGTCAGATTCTGGTTCTGGGGTTCTGGTTCTGAACCCGTCTAGGCCCAAAGCTACCTGTTGATACCTGTTGAACGAAAGAGGCCCTACGGCAGCAAGGGAATCGAACTTTCGAGTGATGTTGGACTGCTAAGTCTCGGTCCTAATTACGAATTCTTACCAATTCCTCCACAAAAAAACACAAAAATCCTCCACTTCTTGAGCGAAACACTTCGCTCACCACGAAAGAAGACTGCGCAGCCGTCGCGCAGCGGTGGGCGACCGGTCCGGATCCACCCCGCCGGTCTCGGTCGACCGCGCGGATCGCTCGCTCGCTCGCTCGCCGGTCGGGTCGTGGGCACCGTCACCGTTGAGGTCCACCTCCTTCATGATGGCATCCACCTCTTTGGCCGTGTACCTGGGAGCCGGTGGCACCCACAAACAGAGCTCCCCTCCCCCCACACAACCAAGACTGTAGCTATCTGTAGATCCATTTCCCGAAAACTCACTTCGAAACTATGAAAGCTTTAGTGGTCAAAACATGCATGAAGACTTCGACAATCGCTACAGAAAAACGAGGCAAGGAGCTTGATCTGCATTACGTCACTCACCAAGGTGTTTCCTGGCCATTTCGGAGCAGACGAAGCTCCAAACAACTTGCAAAGCCAGCACACATCTGTAGGTCCTTCTACCTCAAAATAAATGAAACATGAACCCGCTTCAGAAATGTCTCTGAAATTGCTCCCTATTTCTATCTACTTAGACTTCAACTCTGACCCCTCGAGATCTAGAATCTAGACGTGAACTTGCCCTGTTCAGTCAGTTCCACAAGACTTTATCTTTTGGCATGACATGTCTCTTTCAAAGACCTGCCATTGAAGAGTGTGGCTTCATTGCCCGTCACCCGGAGGAGAGCTATATAATAATAGGCTATATAGTATCATGGCATCATTGGCATCATTGCGTGGACGAAAGAAATCCGGGACAGAAGACATGCAAGGTATCATGAAGCCACTCAGAAAGGCAACACTTTCTTTCCGATCCAAAAACTAGAGTAAACAAACTCTTGTTCTTCGGTCTCGGGACGAATCAGCATGCATTATTTCAGGCTCCGATTTTTGAGACAAGCCACCACCCAGCAGTTTCATCAGCTCCTGTGAAAGCTGCCACGCTGAGAAACTGCGCAGCGACGAGCAAAGACTTGTTGGAGAGTGGGGTGGCGTATTGACGCGTTTGTTGTCTTGGAAAGGTGACCTGCCAGGAGGGGGTGGCTTGTCGTCTGGGCTGATCAGGACTTTGCACCACAATCCTTCGGGCCAAGGGGCCATCGATGTGTCCGGGGCGATGACGTTGAGCGCCACGGCGGCCAAGGGGCTCCACCAACGACTCGACCCATGAGACAATCAAAGGTCAGCGAAAAAACAAAATGACGATGGCCTCCAAACCCAATAGCGATGGCCTCCAAGCTAATAGCGATGGTCCACCCGAGCGGCGATGGCCTCCAACTATTAGCTATACTTACTGGATCGGTCTCCTCCTTGTCGATGTGGCCACTGCCATCTTGGTCAAACGTCTTGAAGGCGCGCCAGCAGGCATCCTGGCCGGGACGCCAAACCCAGACGAGACCAGCCCCAAAAAACAATTTATATATATATATATATAGTGATTATATAATGCAAACACAGTATACAATGCTATATTAGAATACTATTATATATATATAATGTAATATAGTACCTCTTTATTCTATATATATCATTTTACGATATACATATCACCAGGATCTAATGATAGGAGCTTGCAAAACGACCTCGAAGGTCTCGTACCAAGGCGACGATGCAGCGTCAGTGGCTGACAGTCTCTCTTCTCCACAAACCCCAAAAAGACCCCAGCGTTCGCTCATCTGCATGCTTCCAACGTGACTGCTGACCCTTTCCACCAGCGACCAACGCGTGGAGACAACGCCGTGCACAACATCCTCAGCCACCCCATCCGAAGCCATCCTCGGCCACCCACTGACGCTTGTCCAAGGTGGCTGCCATGAACTCCGAGTAGTCAATGACCCCGCTGCCATCGGTGTCGATCCTGACCAGACAGCCCCCAGAGACGCTCCGAAACGGTTTAAGAGCCAACTGGATGTTGTTTTTCTGAGTTTGCCACGCTGCTGCAAAAAGGGTTTCCTGGCATATGAGCAAACCCAATCCATCAGCGCCTCTCCATCATTGCCGCCAAATCTGCTGGCACTGCCACCCCAGCCTGGCAATGAACAGGGGAAGTCTTGTGGTTCCTCAGCATTTGAAAGCTGGACAGTTGGGGTCATTCCCTAAGTGACTGCTTTGTTCCCACCAACCACCAATCGAGGTGTCACAGCGAAAACATTGTAGGTTCGATGGAATGAAAATGAAATTGTAGCGAGTTCCCCGAAAAACCTGCCAAGCATGAAAAATTATGGAGAACAAGGTGGACACCGCAAGCAACCATTCCTTTGTGTTTGACAATCATGGGTCAGTGGATGAGCGAGCTCCACCCCCACGCACGACAAGATACGACAGGAAGGGCCTTGAAAGAACCGTTCTCACAGCATCGTGCCTTGGTGAGGCCCTCCTTGAGCTCAGCCACACTCAAAGTGCCATCATTGTTGTCGTCCATGGCCATAAACAGCTCCTCACATTGTTTTGATTCGGCTTTGATCATGAAAACTGGTAGGGAAAAGTCTGCGAATGATGCTTCACTAGTTGTCATTAATTTTGGGGAACACTGCAGGTACGAAGACATGATTTTGCAATGACATCAGTTTTACAAATGGTTCATAGGGTGGATGCATGGCGTAATTCTCACCCTATGTTTCTCACCCTATGTTTATGTTTTTCCCAGCACAGCCCCCAAACAGCTTAGTTATCTTAGTTGGCGGCGGCTGCAAGCCCCTGCATCGGAAACCAACGTAAACAGCACGACAGCAGCAGGACAACAGAAAGACCAGAGGAGGACATGAGGAGGACAACAAAGGACAAAAGGATGAGGGAAGAAAAGCAACACAAACACACCAAGGTGGACAAAACAAGGACAAACTGCGATTAAACAACGCCAAAGAACACAAGAGAAAGACAAAACGATGACGTGAGCGGGAGTACAACGGAAATTCGGCGGCATCCGCGGCCAATGAACACTTGAGGAAGAACAACATTCAAGAAGGCAATAGAACATGAAGAGGACATGACCAAAAAGATTGTGACAAGAGGGGAATAGGAGGACATCCAGACAAGTCTCGCCGGCGCGGCCTGGCAGTGTGGCCAGCCTTATTTCGTCGAGAGAGGGAGAGCCGAGGCCGCCACTGCCAAGAACCGACAGCCCGCACAGGCGTTTAACCTACAAGCGTCGAGTTTAGAAATGCCTCGCGTTCTTGAGCCCAAACAGTCACGATCTAGTGTGGGATGAGAATGAGGAACAGCCGCCCACACGCCTCTTGGGTAACCGCCAAAAATCATGTTCAGGCGCAATACGCGAAACCCCCCAATACGCGAAACCTCCCATTCAGGCCTTGGGCCCTGTTGATATCTCAAGGACACGGCGGCAGCAGCAGCAACAATAACACCACGCACGGCTGCTAAAAAGTCGGAACTCCTTGAGGTCCTTGATAGCGTCGTCCGTCAGCTGCGTGGCAATGACGTTCAGAGCCGCCTCCGAGCGCTCTCCGAAAACGCAACGTCGATGTTTTGTCTCACATGGTGACCACACCACGCGCAACCACTGGAGCAATCCACTTCAAAAAAGTGAACTTCACTGTCTTTCCCTTTCTTGGGCCTTCTTCAGTTTGTTCATCACCGCGAAGCTTTTCAGGTTCTGCACAACTACCTCGCGAAGCAGGTAAGAGGCCAAAGGCAACAAACCTGTAGAAAACAGGAGCACGGGTCATTATTGAGCATTTCTAAACGACAGCCGTTGAGAAATTTAGGGCGCATATATAAATTTTGCTTAGTGACAATTACTATCTAGCTACCTTTATGCACAACTGCTCTTCAGTTTGATCTTTCGGCAGCACTCCTTATTGCACTGCGATGCGTATTTGCGGGGTCAAGTCCACTGCCCTGCTGCCGACTAACATCGCATGGACAGCAACAAGTTGTAGAAAAGACTAACGCAATCAGATTCAATGCTGGCTGGAACAAATACTTCTTGTACCTGAAGTCTATGAAACAAGAAACCTGCAACAATCCCTTTTCCAACTTCTAAGGCAAAAGAATATTGGATTTTTTTCGTCACCTTACGTTCAAGAACGAACAAACAAAAAATACACACACGTACGTATGCACACACATGCACACATACACATACACACACACATACAGACATACATACACGCACGCACGCACGCGCGCCCATACATACATACATACATACATACATCCATCCATCCATCCATCCATCCATCCATCCATGCATACACGCGTGCATTACTTACAAACACTGCACACACACAGACACGCGCGCGGCCAGCCACACAAACATACATACACAGACATCCACACACACAGAAATACACAAATACAAAAAGCAGCAGCAAGAGGAGGAGGAGGAGGAGCAGCGCCAGCACCAGGAAGTATTACGTAGCAACAGCATCTACGCCTAGCCAAGCACTGGCGCTTGTTGTCGTAGTAGTGACGGTCGTAGTACTTGCAGTAGCAGCAGTAGTGGCAGTTGTAGTAGTACTAATAGTAGTAGTGGTGGAAGTAGTAGTAGTAGTAGTAGTAGTAGTACTAGTTGTAGCACTAGTAGTACTAGTAGTACTAGTAGTACTAGTAGTACTAGTAGTAGTAGTAGCAGTAGTAGTAGTAGTGGTAGTAGTGGTAGTAGTAGTAGTAGTAGTGGTAGTAGTGGTAGTAGTGGTAGGAGTGGTAGTAGCAGTAGCAGTAGCAGTAGCAGCAGCACCAGCAGCAGTAGCAGTAGTAGCAGTAGTAGTAGTAGTAGGAGTAGTGGTAGAGGTAGTAGTGGAGGTAGTAGTAGAGCTAGTAGTAGAAGTGGTAGTGGTCGTGGTAGTAACAGTAGTAGTAGTAGTAGTGGTAGTAGTAGTCGTAGTAGTAGTAGGAGTAGTGGTAGTAGTGGTAGTAGTAGTAGTAGTCGTGGTAGTAGTGGTAGAAGTAGTGGTAGTAGCAGTAGTAGCAGTAGTACTAGTAGTAGTAGTAGTAGAAGTAGTAGTAGTAGTGGCAGCAGTAGCAGAAGTTGTAGTAGTTGCTGTTGTTGTTGTAGTGGTGGTAGTGGTGGTGGTAGTGGAAGCAGTCAGGAGCAGCAACAGTCAATGTAACAAGGGTGCGCCAGAAGCAGCAGCAGCAGCAGCAGCAGCAGCAGCAGTAGTAGTAGTAGTAGTAGTAGGAGTTGCAACCGTACAAATAGCAATCGCGCTATTTGTGGCAGTAGTAGTAGTAGTAGTCGTAGTAGTAGTGGTAGTAGTAGTAGTAGTAGTGGTAGTAGTAGTAGTAGTGGTGGTTAGTAGTAGTTAGTAGTAAGTAGTAGTTAGTAGTTAGTAGTTAATAGTTAGTAGTTGGTAGTAGGTAGTAGTTAGTAGTAGGCAGTAGTTAGTAGTGAGTAGTTAATAGTAGGTGTAGTTGTAGTTGTAATTGTAGTAGTAGTAGTAGTAGCAGTAGTAGTAGAAGTAGTAGTAGTAGTAGTTAGCTAGTAGCTAGCGGTAGTTAGTGTAGTAGTAGTAGTCGTCGTAGTTATAGTAGTAGTGGTAGTAGTAGCAGTAGTAGTAGTAGTAGTGGTCGTAGTACTACTAGTAGTAATAGTAGTAGTATTAATAGTAGTAGTAGTAGTAGTAGTCGTAGTGGTAGTGGTAGTGGTAGTAGTAGTAGCAGCAGTAGCAGTAATAGCAGTAACAGTGGTAGTAGTAGAGGTAGTAGTGGTAGGTAGTAGGTAGCAAGTAGTAGGTAGGTAGTAGGTAGGTAGTAGGTAGGTAGTAGGTAAGTAGTAAGTAGTAGGTATAGGTAGCATAGGTAATAGGTATAGGTAGTAGGTAGGTAGTAGGTAGTAGGTAGTAGGTTGTAGGTTGTAGGTTGTTGGTTTAGTAGTAGTAGTAGTAGTAGTAGCAGTAGTAGTCATAGTAGTAGTAGTAGCAGTAGTAGTCATAGTAGTAGTAGTGTGGTAGTAGTAGTAGTAGTAGTAGTGGTAGTAGTAGTAGTAGTGGTTGTAGTAGTAGCGGTAGTAGTAGTAGTAGTAGAAGAAGAAAGACTTCCTCGTTGGCCCGTTTGTGCACTGCCTGGTAGTAGTAGTAGTAGTAGTACTAGTAGTAGTAGTAGTAGTAGTAGTAGTAGTATAGTAGTAGTAGTAGTAGTAGTTGTAGTTGTTGTTGTTGTTGTAGCAGTAGCAGTAGCAGTAGCAGTAGCAGAAGCAGAAACAGCAGTAGTAGTAGTAGTAGGAGTAGGAAGTGGAAGGTGGAAGGTAGTAGGTAGTAGGTAGTAGGGAGTAGGGAGTAGGTGGTAGTAGTAGTAGTAGTAGTGTAGGACTAGTAAGTGGAAGGTGGAAGGTAATATAGGTAGTAGGTACTAGGTAGTAGGTACTAGGTAGTAGGTAGTAGGTAGTAGGGATTATGGAGTAGGTAGTAGTAGTAGAAGAAGTAGTGGTAGTAGTGGTAGTAGTGGTAGTAGTAGTGGTAGCGGTAGTGGTAGTAGTGGTAGTAGTACTAATAGCAGTAGTAGTACTAGCAGCAGTGGTAACAACAGTAGTAGTACTAGTAGTACTAGTCGTCCGGTAGTAATAGGAGAAGCAGCACTGCTACTACCACTACCACTACCACTACTACTACTACCACTACTACTACTACCACTACTACTACTACTTCTACTACTACTGCTACTACTACTACTACTACTACTACGACTACCACTACCACTACCACTACCACTACCACTATACCACCACCACCCCACCACTACCACTACCACTACCACTCCACTAACACTACCACTACCGCTACCACTACCACTACCACTACCACTACTACTACTACTACTCCTACTCCTACTACTACTACGACGACGACGACGACGACGATGACGACTACCACTACCACTACCACTACCACTACCACTACCACTACCACTACCACTACCACTACCACTATACCACCACCACCCCACCACGACCACTACCACTACCACTACCACTACCACTACCACTACTACTACTACTACCACTACTACCACTACTACTACTACTACTACTACTACTACTTCTACTACTACTACTACTACTACTACTGCTACCACTACCACTACCACTACTACTACTACCACTTCTACCTACTACTACTAATACTACTACTACTACTACTACTTCTACTACTACTACTACTACTACTGCTAACTACTAGCAGTAGTCGTCGTAACATTCATCCTCATTGTCGCTACGGCGGCGGTACTAATAGTAGTCGTCGACCTGGTCAACGTCGTCGTCGTCGTAGTCATCGTCGTCGCTGTTTGCTTTTCCCAGTCTGACACAGATTCCACAGTGAGACCACCGCACTTGAAGGCATTTTTTGCCCAAAGAAAAGAGCGTATTTGTTTTGAAGGTTATGAGCCCAACGTGTGGCCCCCAGCGGGTAGCGTCCGGGCCATGGATCGCGCTAGGTCGCTGCCCCTGCTGGAGGCAAATCCGTGGTGGTCGGATAAGCTGAAGGCGGAGTTGAATGGAGGACGGCCTGGTGATCGGGCACACGCTGATCGGGCCTCTAAGATGGAGCGTGAGATTGAGGAGCTCCGCCACTCAGTGGCCTACATGAAAGAGAATGTCCCAGGGCTTGCCACTTCATGCTCTCATGAGGTTCCCTTCAAGGTCACGACCTTGACATGACGGCGCACGCCATCCTGATCCAGGGCGTGGTTACCAAGATAAAATGTGCGGCCGGCGCAATTGGATCCTATGAGATCGTCTTTGAACGGCGGTGTGAGCCTGGGTCCGGGGCTTGAATGGCCGTCAGCGCGCAGATGGTGGGTCATCCATTGCTGCTCCGCCTCCCTGAGGTGACAGCAGCGGCGAGTGATGCATCGGCTTTGGAACTGGGCGATGGGCTTGCAGTTTGGCCAGTTCTTCGAGATCTTTCGGCCGCCTCGGCTTGTTGGTGGAACCTGACGTCGCGGGACGCATCGCCACTGGAAGACGGCATCGCCGCTGGAGTGAGTTCAGCTGGATCCTCAGCAGCCGGACGAGCTCTTTGACGTTCGGTACCAGCGCACAGCAAAGGGGGGTGAATCTTGCTCAAAGGCCATCCCGACGGATCAAGAGCAGGAGCTGATTACTGCTCCTGGGCCCACCTCGACGGCTTTGTTGTTCAGGCTCTTGGCGCGCTACCAGCCTGGCGGCGCTGGCTGGATTTGATCGAATGGGAACGAGCTTGCCAACACAGGTCACCTTGGCCGACGGCGTCTCCAACAAGCTGGCCATGTTCAGCAGTGGTTGCGCGCTCATCGAGATTCGTTTGATGTTCACGCTCTGAATGATGCTGAGTTGTTTTGTGGGGGAGGTGCCTAACAGCCGGCGCAGTGGCTCAAGCCCGACGGCCTCATTGAAAAAGATCATGCCCAAGGGGAGCTCCAATCACCAAGGACCAGCTTCTTCGCTCGGCGCAAGCGAACTTGGCGCAGTATGTGATGGGGCACGTGGACATCACCAACCTTGAGCAGGGCTGGTATATGGGGCCGTTGCGCCAGGCCATCGTGAACAAGGTTGAAGCAGAGGAGCAACTTGCAGAACAGCCAGGAGCAGGAGATTTTGCGCCACAAAGACTTGGAGGAAGAATTTCTGGTCACAAAGTTTGACTGTTTGCGCAAAAGAGGTAATGGATGATTTCGAGAACTGGATCAGCAGGATACAGCTCGTCCACACCAAGGAAGTGGCGCAGCAGATCACCAAGAACGCCTTGCGCACCCGCGCGGAGAAGGCCATGATCTTTACACGGAAGGCCGGGGCTGGGGTTCGGCGGGCCAGGGCTGTTTGCTGTGGCAACTACTCGGAGTCGAGGTTTAGCGCTGACTGCTACGCTGGAGGCGCTGATGGCTGTCAGGTGAGAGCTTTGGTTCGCGCGGAAGACGGGAGGACGGAAAGCTTGTGGCCATGGAGATCCGCGCCGTCTAGAAAAGACTTGACCTCGCTCGAGAAGGAGATGTTTGGTTGGTGCGCCTGGCCATGCGCCGCTTGATGACATCACTGGTCACGATTGGTGAGCATGGCACGCTGACTGCTGCGCTCAGCTCCTTGCAGCTTGGGGAATGGGTTTCCTCCCACAAGATCCGGTGCATTTTTGTGGCTTCGAGATCACGGTCGACGAAGGTGGGGATGGGTTCCATCTATCGCAGCAGAAGTATCAATGAGCAGGAGATCTTGGCCAGGTGGAAGGTGACTGTTCACTGCGTATCCTCACTTCAAGATGAAGGGCAAGGAGAGGTGGACAGGAATCAAGTCCGCGAAGCACAAGCATTGGCAAGGTCCCTCTTCTGGCTCTCAACGAGGTCAAAACCCGACCTTGCTTTCGGGGTTGCTGCCGTCAGCCGACTCATGACAAAGAACCCGAAGAAGGTGATCGAAGTTGCTCAGGCACTGCTCTCCTACATCAAGGGGACTCCTGGCGACCTCCACTACACCGGGAAGGTTCATAGCATATGGGGAGCGCGCGGAACGCGAAAAGGTGATAGAGGTTTTCGCTGACATCGCCTATGGCACGGGCTCAGGTCATCGAAGTGTGCAAGGTCTGGCAATTTACGTCGCTGGCCGACATCCTCGAGCGCGAAGTGCTGAAGGCACTACTTCCAGGAAGAGCCCACCTCGGCGACGATCGGGCTCTGCAAGCCGCTCTTTATCCCGTCCAAGGTTGCCAAGATCGAAGAGCGATGTGGCTGAAGCGGCAAAAAGTGCTGTCGGAGAAGCTGCTGAAGCGCTCATCTCGCTGCCCGCGCTGAGAGAGCATCGATGATCCTCCACGAAGCAGTGAGTGGACCTTTGGCAGCGCCTCCTCCTGTGAGACGCACTGGTGAGACGCCTGTAAACCCTTGGAATAGATTCCAACAGCTGCACGCTGGCAAGGGTTCGACGATGGATAGTATGAGGGCGGAGTACTTCAAAGGCAAAATGCCACCGTACATTGCCTTGAGCCACGGCATTTTGCTGGCTACTTTTCTTTCAGGAGTTTCGCCAATGAAGGCGAAAGGGGAGTCTGACACAGATTCCACGGTGAGACCACCGCACTTGAAGGCATTTTTTGTCCAAGAAAAAGAGCGTGTTTGTTTTGAGCCAAGAAAAACTTTTTGCGCAGAAGGTTGAAAATCTGGGAAGCCAACCCTTTGAAAACTCCTACAGCACCACAAGCTTAAATTGGTTGCCATTTTTTGGAAAGCGGTTTTAGTGACCTGCGAGCCAACCTTCTTGCCAAACCCAGAACACACCTGCCTGCGAGGCTTGCGTCAAGTCGTGCGACCTCAGCTCGCAAGCGTTTGAAAAGCAGGAAAGAATAACAACAGGCTAACATGCAATCACTGCCTTTTTTGCGTGGTCTTGGCTTGATTAGCTTCTTTCCGTAACGCTGCCACTGGCCCGTTCCGTCTGACAGATGTCGGAATGGTGACTGAGGTTCCCTGCGCATGCTGCTTTGTAAGCCAAGCTTCTTTCAAAGCTGAATCTGCAGTGACCCGTTGACTTGGGTCCTTCATTAGGAGCACCTGAAGGGAGGCACTTGCTGACACTAAACGATGGATGACTTGCTCCAAAAGGTGACAGCCATAATTATGCCAGCGTAGACCCCAGATAGCAAAAGATACTTGTGGGAAGCAACAGCACTCATCTGACAGCACACCCCCTGCGGCAGCGGCACTGCTCCAAAGCGCACAGGGCCATGGACCCAAGCTCCAAAAGGCACACGGCCAAGGACATCTCGCAGCAGCACTCTGCAGTGGCCCTGCAGCTGCAGCTGCACCAGCACCCAAGCTCCAAAATGCACATGGCCATGGACATCTGGCAGTAGCACCCTGGATCGGCACCTCGCAGCGGCACCACCCAGGCTCCAAAGTGCACACAGCTAGCGCCCAGCAGTGGCACCCAGCACTCAGGCCCCAAAGCGCACACAAGCACCTCTTCCTAGTTACTTAAGTAAAACCCCAATTCTCGCTATCTGCGGAAAATTGCCCTTCGGACACCTTCAGCATATCCATCGCTTCCTTTGAAATGGCAGACCACTCCTGACGGCGCGTGCGCAAACGGTGCCAGGCGATGTTCTGACAGTCCACTCAAATTGGCAAACTGAACCGTCGAAGACCGTGAATTAAGACACAAGACCAAAGCATAGCTGTCCACCCCTTTGCCTTGGTTCCCATGATCGTTCAACCCTTCCAACAAAAAACACCGCCACCGTCATCATCGTCACCCCACCTTCTGATCGAAGGAGAGGTCCGCCTGTCTCACCGAGTCTAGGACCGCCATGGTGTCCGCACCCGAGAAGGGAGGCGAGCCACTCAGCAAAATGTACCTCAGCAAAATGAGCCAAGAAGAAGAAGAAGAAGAACCTCAAGGATCGTCAAGGTACTCAGGAGACCAATGTAGACTGCCAGAAATACCAAATAAGCCTCTTCTCGGATCATCAAGTCAACAAACCACTCCCCCCTCCACCCCAAGTGAGACCTTCGCTCGAACTGACGGAGACAACCTGACGGACCCAACCCCTCCAAACGTCAGTGGCGGCACATGATCACACCGATGCTCCAAACGTCGCTGAGCTCGTTGTAACGCCCTGAAAGCACCTGGGAAAGGTCTGGGGGATGAGGTGAACACGGTGTTCACTGTGTTCACAAATGCTTCGCACTAAGAAGCGACCAAAGTGTGAAGGTGAGGTTTGTTGGAGCAGCACAAAATGGGATTGAGCACACTCCTTTTCATAGAGAAGGGAATCTCAATGGCCCTTCTATGTCTCCATTCTAGTGTCAGCAAACAAAAATCCGAAAGTGATCAATAACATCTGCCGCAAAATGGCCGAAAATTGGTGCACTTCTTGTGACCGTGATGTGAATGGATTAAACCCCTCCAAAGCCAACGCTCCGCGGACTCCGCGCACAACATCCCTTGCGCCGACGACCAACCCCAGCAAAGGGTACAATCCGCCGGAGTCCACCAGCCTCAGGGGCCACGTAGTAGGGAGTTCCTGCCTGCGGAGATGGCGAGACAGCGACCCCGAAAGCACCTTCCTTCCTTCCTTCCTTCCTTCCTTGCTTCCTGCCTGCCTGCCTGCCTGCCTGCCTTCCTTCGTTCCAAAGTCTGCAGTTGGGCTTTTCTGTCCAAAGCACAAGCTGCACCGTGCGCCGCCCTCGCCCACCCTCCCTCACCTTGGTCTTGGCGAAGTCTCCCGGACTGAAGCGCTTGGAGAGGCCAAAGTCAATCAACTTCAAGTAGGTCTTCTCGATAGCCTCCTGAGGTCCCGGGATGGACTTTGGAGTTTCTTCATGGGTTCTTCCAATCTTCTGATCGAAACAAGAATGAAATTTTGTCTGAGCTGACACTGATCGCTTCGCCTTACTCAATGATGAAACAAGACATTGCTGCTAGCAAACCCACCCAGTCACAAGGAGTGAATTTCATCATGCGCACAACCTCCAACAGGGTGTTTCTCCAAGCATCTGTCTCTGCCAAGAGCCAGTTCTCAGGCTTCAAGTCGCCTCCGATTCTCGGACGAAAGGATCAAAAAGTGTTGGTATTATCTTTGCTTCTTTTCAGAATGCGTTTGTCCTATTCACTTCAAGCCACCGGCTTCGTTTAGAGTATATAACTGGTCTTTGTGGATCTTTGTAGAGCCGGGGCACGGAGATGGCACAAACGCTCTAAGGGATGGACGGTGCATGATGCCATTGATGTGCATGTAGTTCACAGCCCGCAGCATCTGCTGCACACAGAAAGCTGCCACCTGCGGTCAAAAAAAACTGCTCAAAAACCGGCCGCGATTCCATGGATGGCTCTCAGAATGAGAGGTTGAACATCATGAATATGTACAATGAACTGATACATAAGACATGATGTGACACATCCAAACATCGTGAAGCCCCCCAAGCATGGAACCTCCAGGCCCCTTCCCAAAACACTGGGCCATCTGTGGGCCATCGGTGAGCCATTGTGGGCCCCTCTCTCCTGCCTGCTCGGTGAACTTCCCATCGGCCACGATGCGATCGAAGAGCTCTCCTCCAGAGCAAAGCTCCAACCTTGGAGGCCGAGCGGAGCGAGCGGAGTGGTGGAGGGACGGGAAGGGGGAGAGGGTAAAAGGTGTGCATAGGGAGACCTCCCCGATCGACCTTCTGGAAGAAGGGACATACACCAAAACCATCCAAAACCCGTTGGGGGTCTCCTGGTCTCCTTTAAAACGCCGAAAAAGCCCAAGGATGGATTCAGAACACCGAAAAAACATCCACCCCTCTAGCATCACACCGCTTTTGGGCCGGGAACAGGAGCGGCTCGGAACATGGTGCTTTGCACCAGTGGAACAGGTTAGAAGCACAGCAAGATACTTCCCTCAAAGCATCTCAAACTCTACAATAGCGCCTCAGGTGGGCAGCTCTTGAAATCCGGAGACATCATGCATAATCTATTCCTTCTCATCCATCACCTCCTTCTCCTCCTTCTCCTCCTTGTCCTCTCGCTTCTTTTTGCCCCTCCGTTTCTGACGCCGAAGGTGTTCGTTGTGGCAGAAAGTACAGTCTTCTCCTCGGTTGCATCCAGACAAGGAATAGCAAAAGAAAGAACAGGGCGTGCATCCATCAGGATGTAACCGGCTGCCAACACTTAAGGGCGTCTCTGCAGAGTCTGAGGCTTCTTTCTCTCTCTTCGCCGTCTTTCCAAAGGCATCCAGCCACTCTGTATGATCCTTGAGGATTTTCCCAGACTCGGAGTCAATGGTCATACCTTGCAGCATTGAATCGGATGCGGCCCGGCGCAAAGACCCTTCATCCTCCTCTTCCACCTGGGAGTGGTCGGAGTGGTCAGACGGTCATGGATGCCAAAACCCGATGCATCGTGGACAAGGACGGCTGGAACCCAAGTAACCGATGGTTCCATCGCACTGATTGTTGACATGGAATTGATGACATGGACACACAGCATTGACCAAACAAAACACGATTTGGTCCTGCCTCGAGGAAGGTATTCTTGGTGAGAACTGCTGGGCTTTGCGTCTCCAGCGCTACAAAGGAGGATGGATCCTTGCCCTCAGCCTGCAGCCAGCTCAAATTGAAGGGCACCTGCAGGCGAGATAGAGCATCTTGCTGCACTTCCATGATGGTCTTCACAATGGTGTCTAACTGTCTGCGGACGACTTCCTGTACGTCTCCTTTTCGGTCGCCGGACGAGTGCGTCATGTCCACTTGTATGCCCAGCAAATAGAAGGTCGAGCCGACCCGCAAGGAATTGATGCAAACCAGGTTGAGAAAGACTTCGCCATTCTTCTTGCGATTCTGCAGGAGCCCAGAGAAGCTTTTGCCTGTTCGAGCAGATGCCTTAGGAGACGACCCGAAGGAACGACAGGTTCCGCGGCGGGTACGCGGCGGGTTTTGCGAGTTCCAAATACTTCCTTCGGTGACTTCGGGGACTGTAGCAGGTTCCGCAAACAAAACACCTAGGATTCCTGGCCCAGCATTTTTAATGGTTCGAATCCCGAACAAACATTCTTTCACTGAGAACTTTGCACTACAACACCAGGTCAACCAATTGCTTGAATTGTCTTGGAAGGCTAGGGCATAGACTGATAGACTTGACTTGCCAGGTCCTTCGATTCTGGCTCCAGGGCTGTGCAAAGAAACTCTTGGTCCAAGAGGCTCTTAGCTTCAACCTGTCCTCCTGGGGAATGGCACATCCACGATTCAGGAATCGGCAATTGCGGCCAAGCACTTCATGCTTGAGGTAGCCAGACAAGGTTTGAAATCCCTTGCTCACCCCAATGAGAGGGCAATCGAACTCTTGTGGCTGGGCCAGAGTCACTGAGATGGCGGCATCTTGACATCCGCCAACCGCCAAAGCTTCACAGAAGCCAGAGTAATTGCCCTCCCTGCAGGGAAGCCAGAACGGCAAATGACAAGAGCAAAAACTCTCGGACTCCCATCCTTTCACCCCCAGCTCCACCACCAGTCCGCTCGACACGCGCTCGTCCGGTGCCTGAAATGCGCCATGGCCTTGCCGACGCTCCGGCCGTGGCGGCGGAGCTTCTCGTCCCGGTCGCTCCGGTCATCCCAGCGGAGCTCCACGGGATCGGCCACCTCCACAGACATCACCAAACGCCGTCGGGCGGGGGCGGAGCTTCTGCTTCTGGGAGCGGGCGTCCGTCTTTGGGGGCGCAAAGCCGGTGGAAGGCGGGCGTTCTGTGGGCCTTGTTTTGGAGGAAGAAGTGGACTTACAGAGATATGAGATATGGCGCTCTTACCTCATGATGACGAAGTTGAAGGAACACCTTCCCGCCCCCTCTTTCTGTTGATACTTATAGGTATATCATGTTATATTTTCGACTTGATCTCACTTCCCAAGCTCCTTCCCGCATCTGTGCTCCAAAAGACGGCCGCGCGTGGTCGAACAACCGGCTTCGACGGTGGTTTCGCCCAGCCAAGCCCAGCCCTCTCAGACATCTGGTGGGTCCAAACCCTGACAATGTCCAAGCCGCCCAAAGGGCACGGGGGTTCTTCCAGACCAACGAGAAGAAAAACACACCAGGTGTCCGAAAACTTCTCTTTTTCGGGACGTCCCAATCCGATGATGGGTCGCGTCCCTCAATCGGACCCTGTCGTTGGGATCTCAACCGACGGAGCATCTTCTTTGTGCTGAAAAGGAGCACCAGGTACACGTTCCGCTCATCATCGAAGGTCTTGGCCGGTGACTAAAAGAGTGAACAGCTAAACTACCAAACACAAGGTGCTGCCAACATGCCTTGGGGATTGGCACCTAGTGACCTACTCCAAATCCTGAGGAAAGTCATCGATTCAGACTGGATCCTGGAGCTTACTGCATGATCCTAGCATCACAATGAACCGTGCACAAGAATCAAGCACGCTCTCTGAACAGAGCTGAACCGCCTCATACAGGCGCACGATGTTCGGATGGTCCAAGAGTTTCATGATTGCCATCTCCTCCTGAAACCTTGGCCCGACTGGAAGGAACTCTTGGTCTCCTCTCTGTTGCTGCAGTTGGTAAGGGACTCAAAGGTGGAGACCAGGCAACAGAGACTGAACAACTCGATGTTTCGGTTGATGTCAAGGTGTTGTTTTGCTTCATAGGCAGGATTGACAGGACTCCTGGACAGTCCATGAACATCGAAGGAGAGAGATGAAAAAATCATGTCACCACACAACGAGTTGGAAGAGATTTCTTGGGTAGGGATGAATGCCACGTTTTTAAAGCTTTAACTGGAAAAAGAGGGTTGCGAAGAGAGAAGGAACTGTATCTCCTACAAACCACACTGACATTTTGTCTGGGGTTAGGGTGTTCAAGTTGCAAAACCATTGGTGACAAAAGGAACGACACTCTGATTTCTTCATTCCACCGTTGTTTGGGCCAATTGCCAACAACACCACCTGATCTGCTGCTTTGCGAGAGTTACTGTCATGAAGCAGAGCCGAGCAACAAAGGTTCTCACACATGTTTTAGTCCTTCATCTGACACTCGTTGCACATGCATCGGCAGGCTGAGGCCGAGGGCTGTTTTGGATCTTTGACAAACTTCTTGTTGATGGTCTTGACCGCCCTCCACTGCCCCGTATCCTCTCCGGCCATCCAAGAAAACTGGGCCACAAAAAAAGATGGCATCTATAGTGGCAGCCTGCATTACTGCTGGCTTCTCACTTTCACTCCTTGTACATGCACTTCTGCACTGATCCATAGGACCCTTCCCCGATGACCTGCAGTTTCGTTCGACTGCGGTCGTGGTCGCCCAAACGACGGTCGGACATGCCAACTGAATCCGGGCGCCAAAACTCCCCACCTTGTGCTCGACCTCGTAAAAGTCCTCCAACTTCCCACGGTTAGATGCCGCAAAGGCCCCAATGGAGAAAGCACCTGCCTTGACTGACAGGTTGGCACGCGCCTGACGTGGGGTCAGTGACAAGGAATGACCACGAAAGTTGACATTGAAAATCAGTGAAGCATCACACATTCTCAAAAACGTCCCTGTTGGCCAAGCTGTGGCAAAGAGCTACCCGGCCTTCCCATGCTCAGCCTCCACAATGGGCGCTTTGGAGACCTGCGGTCTCCGATGCTTTTTCAACAAGGCAAATCCTTCAATCCAAACTCTGAACATCAATCCAGTACTTGTTCAACAAGTGTCTATCACTCAATGCGGAAACATCAAAAACATCGTCCACCCTCTCGACCCCCAAACGAAGCCAAGACCGTTTTTAGCATCATTTGCCACGTCGTTCCTGCACCTCTACTCCAGAGCCTCAGACCTGGGAGTGGTCACGCTTGCGAATCTCCATCTTCTCCTCCTGAAGCAAAAAAAAGTCAATGCAATTCCTATCTGAGGAGAGGTCAATGAGCTGTTTCGGGTTTCTCACTTGTTCAAGAGCCGGAAGAACCCCAAATCAACCCATCCACAGCCCAACGAGCGGTGTATTGAGCAACCTCAACAAGCGATTCTGCCCGTGCTTCAACTAGCAAAGAGTCCATCCTTGCAGCAGGCCAGCATGCCTCCCATAGCACCTTAGCAGATGAGAGTTCTTAGTGGTGGCGGTTGATCCAAAGAAAAGCAAATACATTTGCATTTCAATACATGGAACTACTCATGGGGTATTTGGATCTACTCATGGATCAGACATGGATGCATTTGATGAGTCAATGCTCTGTTTCGAAGAGTTGTTTTGGCAAGGAGTCTCACGGAAGACCAACAGAGACAAGGGCCTAAAAAAGTAAAAGTAAAAGGATAGCACCAAAATGACCAGACCAACTCTTCTGGATGGTTACTTTGGCCGACTTGGATGGAACACATGGACCCGGAAACACCAACTCAGTCACTCTGCTTTCTGCGCCACAAATCAAAGGTGTTTGGACATGTTTAAACACGATACTAAAAACCTGTGCTGACTTGGTGCATGAATAACGTCTTTGGATAAACACTCCCCATCCACACTGATAAACTGAAAGAAGCTGAGCTGCCATCGACATACGCAAAGCGTAGTGCCAATATCAAGGGCCATGCCAAACGCGAGACAAAGGAAGGGATTGGAAAAAAATCAAATGTTTGAAACCCCTCGATGCATTTTGCTGAATGTATAACACCAATGAAATTTAAAATGGCCTCCTGAAGAAATCATACGTTCAACACACTGATAAAGTGTTGCCGCTGCAAGGTTTGTTTGCAAGAAGTTGGGGCGAACTCAACATGTGGATTCCACGATATTTGTTTTACAAAAAAGGCCATGGCGGCCATGGCAAGAAACTACCTTTCGTTCAAAGCATCATGCTCAATGCTCAACCACCAAAACGTATGATGTCTGTTTGGTCCATGTCTAAAAATCTGATGGCCTATTGACCAATGCATGTCCTTGCCCAATGACCTCTTGCCAATCGTTCAAAGGACAGTGACTGAGCGTTGTTCCCTAGTTTCGATGTTTTGGGTGGCAACGTAAACCCACCATGGTCGAAATGGTGGTGCGTCTGAAAGCTATGGTTTGGCCATGTCATGTGAGCGCAAAGTGGGCATCGGAGAGCAGTCTAAATAGACAATTGTCCATTACAATTTTGGCGAACATGTGGCCAAGTCAACACGGTGATGATGATGATGATCATCATCATCATCATGATAACGAACCCTGTTGATCAAGAGGTCTGATGGCCTATGGTTTCGCATGGTCAAAAACCCCAACGGACACACTTAGCGCAATCATCCCCTGAAGCCTCCGTCTTGTGCAGAAGCCACATGCACCAAACACAATCAACTCAATCAACGCAAGAACTTTTGATGTAGAACAGTCTTATCCTCGACGATTTAACGAAATCCGCCGACCCCACTCGTGGGATGAGGCGTGACTGTTGATGAAGGCTAAGGCTATGATTAAGGCTAAGGCTAATGCTATACTAAGGCTAAGGCTATACCTCCCCTAACCCTCCGGAGCCTTGTTGCAGCGACGAAAAGTAGCCAAGATTTGTGCAAGATGTATGCAAGAGTTGTCCAAGATTTCTCTAAATGTATTGGTTTGCTTCTTACTGGGGATTGGGGCGCCCTCTCCACCTGCGCGGGAAAATAAGCACGGTCCATAAATGGTCCCGGGCTCGAATCCCGGGCTGGTCGCGGCGTGGTCCCTGCCAGTGCCCTTGGTTTTTCCTACATGTTGTAACGTTTTCAGCTGGATTTCTAGGATTTTCAACGGTTTTTGTAAGATTTACTCATGCCTTTTAAACCTTTGGCGAGGGTGTTGTCCAGCATTTTAGACCTTTTGCAAGGGTGTTGTCCAGCATTTCCTCTGGTTTCTCTCGGTACTTGTAAAGGCTCCGTGTTGTTTTTTGGGTTCCCAGATTTGCAGTTGTACTCATGCCTTTCATGCGTTTTGCGAAGGTTTTTACAGGATGCCTGGTTCCTGCCAGCGCCCTTGTTTTTTCCTAGATGTTGTAACGTCACAGGCTTTTCTAAGATTTACTCATGCCTGTCAGGCCGTTTGCGAGGGTGTTTTCTAGCATTTCCTCTGGTGTGTCTAGGTACTTCTTGCTTTACTCATGCCTTTCATGCGTTTTGCGAAGGTTTTTAGAAGGTTTTTACAGGATGCCTGGTTCCTGCCAGCGCCCTTGGTTTTTCCTAGATTTTGTCACGTTTTCCGCTGGGTTTGTATGATTTTCAAAGGCTTTTCCAGCATCTCCTCTGGTTTCTCTAGGTACTTGTACAGGCTCTGTGTTGTTTTTTGGGGTTCCCAGATTTGCAAAGAAAATTGCTAACCTATTTTCTTCCATTGCTGTACTCATGCCTTTCATGCGTTTTGCGTAGGTTTTTACAGGATGCCTGGTTCCTGCCAGTGCCCTTGGTTTTTCCTAGATTTTGTCACGTTTTCCGCTGG